TTGTTCCAAGATTAACATTTAACTCAGAAGGACAAAAACTATACATGGAAAATTATCTTAAGCCCTACAAATGGGTGTATCTTAATGAAGTAGTAGAACGATCAAATAACTCTCAACAGCAATCAGGTCAATTTAGAATTACAAATGCTATCTCAAAACCACGACATGTATTTGTTTTTGGAATTAACACAGCTAATATTAGTTCTCAAACAGCAAATCCATTTTTATACAATACTTTTAATCTACCAAATACTGCTAATATATCTCGCTGTTATCTCGAGGTTGGTAATGGAAATGAGTACCCTGATATTCACTTTAAACCATCTACAGATCCATCAAGAGTTTTTAGAGAAGTAATGTCATACATATATGCAAATAACGACTTTCAAGGAGGAACACTACTTAATAGAACAAATTTTAGTTCTTTATTTCCATTTGTTTATTTTGATCTTACAAAACAAAAATTGGATATAAAAGATGGAGTTACAAAATTAGCATTTCACTACGAACTATCTGCTAATCCAAATGCTGATTATAATTTATACGCTTTAGTCCTACATGAAAGAGATGCAGAAATAGAACAACAAGGAGGAAAACTATTGCTTAGAGCTTAAACTAAATTATATATCCACCAAGTAACATTAAAAAAGTTCAAATACATAAGCAAATTAAATAAGAATCCCTTCTCTCTTGTAACTTTTTCAAAGTATAAGGCATTATTTCTTTCTCAAAATTTTATAGCGTCTGTTATGATTACACAAAATTTTATAGCGTCTGTTATGATTACACAGAAAATTATACAAGCGTTATCAAATGATGTGTAATCATTTGATTGGATAAAAAAATCATACGATATTTATATTACAGCAGGTACATAAAACCACCAAAACAAAATAATATAAATATTATAATAAAAATGACAACTTATATTGAATACGGAGTAAAACTTACAGATGGACAAAAGTCAAAATTGGCTTCTGCAATATTAAATAAATCACCACTAACTCTTCGGTTAAAACATGGACATCTTCGAGGTTCTGATGAGTTAATGCTAACAAAAAGACAAATTTTTAAAATAAAAAAATCTATTGCAAATGGTACCGGATCGGATATAAAGATAAGTAAAACACAGATTAGACGTTCTGTAAAACATGGTGGAAACTTATTTTCATCACTCGCATCTCTTGGAGCAAAAGTATTACCTTACGCAATAAAAGGAGTATCAAAAGTTGTTCCTGCATTGGCTACTGGTGCTGCCACTGCACTTGGAGAAATTGGATTAAATAAAATTTTTGGAAAAGGAATAACAATCCCCCATAAATTTTTCCCAATGCTACCACCTATTGTAAGAGAATTTACACAATCACAAATAAACCAAATTAACAAAGCACATCAAACAGGTGGACGATTAATTATTAAACCAACTCGTAAACAAATAGAAGGAGGATTTCTTGGAACTCTTGCTTCTATTGGTATACCAATGGCAATTAGTTTAGTATCTAAGATGTTTGGATCTGGACTACAAGTAGATAGAAGTAATTCATCCAATACATCAAATGTTTATGTTCCACATCCTCCTCCTCCATCTACTTATGGTGAAGGTTATCCTTATCACTCACCACCTTTTATTGGTAATTGGTCCAACCCAATAGGAATGGGAGTTAAAAAAAAAAAGCCCAAATCCAGGGGAAAAGGAATATTACTAGGAAAAAACAGCCCATTCAACTCAATTCCCATTCTAGGTACCATTTTGTAATTAAACCTTTATCCAACTTTGACCTCATGGAATGGATAAAAAGACTTGGTATTAAACATTTTAGAGGAATATATAGTCGTGATAGACTACCAAAAAAGATTAAAAAAGAATGTGGAATAATTAATCTAGATGATATTACAGGACCTGGAACACATTGGGTTTGTTATAGAAATATAGACAACGTAGTTGAGTATTTTGATCCATTTGGACTAATAATGCCAAATGAAGCATTAAGATATTTTAATACTTCTGGAAAACAAATAGTTTACTCAATGGATGAAATACAAAATCGCAATACTGTTCTATGTGGTTATTGGTGTTTATACTACTTATTTGAGAGACAGAGAGGTAATAGTATTCTAGATGTAATACATAACCCTCATTTTGATGATGACAATAGTGATTTTATAAAAGCATACTTTGGAGGATAAAATATAGTTTAATATAAAATAATATAATATTTAATAAATATTATATTTTTTTTAATATTCTTTTTTTAATTGATCAATTTAAGATATTAAACAACTTAATTTTTCATATTCTTTTTTTAATTGATCAATTGAAGATATTAAACAACTTAATTTTTCATATTTTTTAAAAAGTTCATCAAATTCTTTATCATTAATTATGCTTGAAACTTTATCAAAAAAAATAAATTCTTCTTTTAATAAAGATTCAGAAAATTTACAATAATTAAATTTTTCAAAAAGTTTTTTTCTAAGATCATCCTTTATACAAATTAACGATTTATTTATATTAAATAAATTATCTAAACTTTCTTCCATTTATTATATTTCCTTTTTTTTTTAAGCCATTTTTAATCACTATCAACTGATTTATTCTTTAAAAGTTTAACCTTCTCAACTTTTGTGTTTAAATCTCTAACACTATCAACTATGTCAACAAAATTTGAGTAAATTTCAATAAGACGATAAAGTTTTTTCTTTTTATCATTATTTATACTCAACCATGAATATTCCTCATTTCTAATTTTTTTCCACATCTCACATTCACTAACCATTAGCACTCTTGAAAGATTATCATTTTTCTTTCTAAGACTCTCCATCTCATTATATATTTTTGTTCGCACTTCTTTTTCAAAATCCTTGATTGTTTTAACATCAATATTTTTCTCAATCTCAGAAAAGAATTTAGCCTCCATTTATTATATAAACAGATAATTACCTTTTACAACTTTGTTAAGAGTATTTGCTTTCTCACTTATTTCCATAAGCAACTCAAATATTTTTATAAATTTAGTATCATTTTCCAATCTAGAAAAATCAGCATATTCATAACTCATATTAAGATTACTATATATCTTTTCAAGCTCACTTTTAATAAAATTAGATCTAATAGACATATTTTATCTAAGCATATATTAAATGAAAGAATCATATTGCATTAAAGATAAAAGAGTAACTCCTTGTACAGAACCAAGTGGTTACCAAAAAGATAAAAGAGGTAGAACTCAATTCTTTTGTAGATGTGCAGTTTGTGGAATTAAAAAAGTTAGATACGTCAAAACTGGAACAGCTTCTCAAACTGGAAGTGGTAAAAAGAGAAAAACAAAAAAGAGGTCAAAAAACTAGTAAGCCCGTCTGAAGGGGCGGGCGTCTTTGATACTGTTGTTGGTACAGCAGTTGATGGATTTGTACATTACGGTCTACCTTGGATGGGTAAAAAAGCAGTTGAAATGGGTAAATATGGAGCAAGTGAGTTAATGAGAAATAAAAACGTTCAAAAAAAAGCTGTAAACTACGGAATAAATAAACTTACTCCATTTATTCAAGATTCTGTTGGAACAGCAATGGATCAACTGTCAAAAAAAGTTAGACCAAATAAAAAGTATAAAACTGATAGACCAGAGTTGGATGGAAGAGGATTAGATATTCATAACGCTATTCTAAAAGTGGCACCCAAAAAAGGTTTTGTTTTACCAGGTCATAATTATACCGGTCCTGGTAATCCTCTTGACGATCAACTTCGTTATGATGATAAGGGTAATATATTAGAAATCTACCAACAACCAACAGGACCAACTGATGCGGTTAGTATGCAACATGATGTGGATTACACAGTTTGTGGAAATAAACCAAAAAGTGAACAAGTAAAATGTAAAAATGAGGCTGATAAAAAAATGATAAAATCACTAGATGCAATTCCTTGGAAAAAAAGACAATGGGGGCATGCTATGGCTAGAACTATGATAAATACAAAACAAAAACTTGGAATGGGTTTAAACGCCAGTCGGCGTTGAGTAATGATTGGTCTCAACAATTAGCCGACGAACTTCACAAACCAATCACACGAAAATTTCAAAAAAGAAGAGTAATTGTAAATAACATAGATGATATTTGGGCTGCTGATTTAGTAGAAATGCAAAAGTTTAGTAAGTGGAATAATGGAATTAGATATTTGTTAATGGTTATTGATATATTTAGTAAATATGGTTGGATAAGAGGTTTACCAAATAAAAAAGCTGAAACTGTATATGAAGCTTTCAGAGATATAATAATAAAAAGTAAACGAAAACCAAAAATGCTCTGGACAGATAAAGGTTCCGAATTTACAGGTAAATATTTTAAAAATTATCTTGGTATTAAAAAAATAATACCATATTATACTGAAAACAAAGAAAAATCTAGTGTAGTTGAAAGATGGAATAGAACAATAAAGGAAAGAATTTGGAAAATGTTTACTGTTAATAATAACACTGTTTACTGGGATAAACTTAGTAAAATACTTGATAATTATAACAACTCTTATCATACCAGTATAAAAATGTCTCCTGTTGAAGCAAGTAAAGATAAAAATAAAAATCAAGTTTGGTATAATTTGTATAACGATTTAATTTACTTACAACCTGGTAAACCTAAGTTTACAATTGGTGATAAAGTTAGAATTTCAAAAAATAAAAGACCGGTATTTGATAAAGGTTACACACCAAACTGGACAGAAGAAATATTTGTAATTGATAATATTCTTCCAACAAAACCTGTTACGTATAGTATTGTAGATTTAATGGGAAAAAAAATTAAAGGTTCTTTTTATGAAAAAGAATTACAAAAAGCAAAACAACAAACTTATAGAATAGAAAAAATTATTAAAAAAGATAATAAAAATAAATTAGCATTAGTAAAATGGAGTGGGTATCCTGACAAATTTAACTCATGGGTAAATTTAGATGATTTAGTTGATTTTTAATACAAAAAAAAATGTATTAAAAATAAAAATACTATTATTACTCTTCATCACTAACTTTTTCAAGTAATGCTTCAAGACCATCTTTTGTATAATCACCCTCACTCTCTTCTTCTTCCTCTTCCTCTTCAAACGCCAATAAAGACTCTCTAGGTTTGAGTGGTTTAACATAGCACTCATGTACTTTTATTTGTAAAGATGTTACAGTTTTACTTATGAAAATTCCTTCAATTATAAGAGCCAATTTAACATTACAGTATTGATTAAGATATTTAAAAGGATTTAGATCACGACCTCCCTTTCCCTTAAACAAAGATAGAATTTTTTTTGTTTTTTCTGAATAAATAAGTTTTGCATAAAGAACTGGTGCTGATGATTCATCAACTTTTGTTTTCTTTTTTCCTTTATTGTCTGTGTATTCTATTTGTTTATAGTAAAGTGGTGAAGATAAACTTGATGCCATATCAGGACCATATTCATTTTCTAAATAATGTTGTGATGCAGTTGTTATATTATTAATAACATCAAAAAATTCTTTTTCTTTAGTACTGGGTTCACTATCGCGAGACCAAAGACATACTGGTATTGAGTAACCTACTAACTTTTTTGTATCTTGGTTTTTCTTTTCATTTACTCCAAAAGAGAAAAGAACTGGAGTTTCTATTACAAGTGGACCTTTTTTCTTATTTGGATATTTGATTTCAATTGGAATACGTTTATATTTAATTTTGCTATCTTTTACTTTATACTCTTTGCTTTCATTAAACACGATATTGTCTTGGGTAATATTTTCGTAACTTGTCAACTGCATTTTATTAATAATTAGATAATCCTTAAACCACATTTAAATATTCAAACGTGTATTTTTGACCGTCTTTTTTTGAAGTGGCTGATTTACAATATATATACTTCTCCTCACAAATCATTTTAACATGACCTGCATTAATTCCTAATAACTTGTTAACTGAGTATAAACTATTGTAAATAACTTCTTCATTTGTTAAAATATTAATTGCCTTAACTCTTTTTCTATTTTTATGATTATCCTTAACAAAACTATAATCTCTATTATTTGTTGATTTTTTATTATTTTCACTTGTTGTTACTACTTCCAAATTTTTCAACCTATTATCTGTTCTAATAAAATTGATATGATTAATACATTTATCACTTTCTATCATCCCATAAAAACACTCATAAACAAATCGATGTATAAGATAATTTTTTACTTTATTTTTTGCCACAGATATACAAAATCTCAAATAACCATTATTATTAAGATTTCCTAACATAGGTTTTCTTATTCTAACATTCATAATTTCACCATATTTATTTGCTGCATATTTTTCATAAATAGGATGAGTATAAAACTTTTTATTATTTTCCAATATGAGAACCATTTTATATTAAAATTTTATTTCTTTAAGCATAATATTTCAAATTTATTTTTTAGGCCAAAGTAAATTAACAGACCAGAAGTTACTCGATTCTGGATTAGTATAAGTTAATTCACCTTTTTATTTTTAATCTTCATAGCACGAGACAGATATTTATCTCTTCTCTCTTTATCCTTGTGAATAGTATAATCTTCATATTTAGGTGATCCAAAATGTACTTTCTTTCCACCTGGAAGTGTAACCATGTATTTGTTATTTTTACGAGTTGAATAATCAAGTGATTCAGCACCGAGTTTTTTAGCATTTTTGGTTAATCTATTAAAATCTGGTCCTTCAAGAATGTAATCTGGATCCTTATCATCAACTATAAAATCCAAATCCTCTTTTGTAGGAGTAGTTTCTCTAGATCTTGGTTCCATTTTTATTAGTTGGTTATATTAATTACTACTTTACCTAAAGTGTTTGAATTTTAGGTAAATATTAAATTTTTCCTTATTTTCATCTAAATTTATTAGTAATAATTCATCATTATTAAAATCATTATCTTGTACCATATCAATAAATTTAATAATATCAGCTTTTATACAATCAATAACATATATCAAAAAATGATAAAAATCATCTATAGATAAATATTTATCAGTATATTCAAAAGTATCTTTACTATATATTAAACTTTTTATTTGATAAAAAATATTTTAAATTCTATACATCTTTTTTATATGTTTAATTTTATAATCATCCCCATTTTTTTCTAATTTTTTAAGATAACCACAAATTTTTTTTCTATTTATTTTTCGTTTAAATCCTTCTTCAAGGTAAAGTTGATTTCTACAATTTTCTTCAAGGTAAAGTTGATTTCTAAAATTTTCCTCCATATTATATATATTTCTCTACTTGTTCATAAATCTTTTTTATCTATTTTTATTTCATCTAACTCATAATTATCTTCTTCATCTTCATAAAAATCATTTAATACGTATTTCTTTACTTGTTGATAAATTTTTTTAATATCTTTTTCAACCTCAATTTCATCAAATTTTTTTGAGTATAAAACGTCATAAAATTTATCACTATTATATATTTCAGGTTGTACTAGTTTAATCTTTTTAAGAATATTTTTAGTTTGTTTTACTTCTTCATTTTGTTCTTTTTCATCATATGTAATAAAAGGATCTCCTCTATCTATTTCATCTAAAAACTTAATCTCATAACGCACTGTATCTTTCATAGGAATAGTAACATTAAGATAATATTCTTTACTAAATGGTGATTTGTTTTCATCAATTCCATGAAAAGTTGGTTCTTCAGGTTTTCGACAAACATATTGATGTTCTTTATTAACAAAAATAGCATTACGTCCATTAACTTTTTTTATATATTTATGTTCATCATAAAATAAATAACCAAATCTTTTTTTCATATAACGTAATTGTAACAATTGATCATCAATAAAATTATTTAGACGTTCATAATCCATAAAACATTTACCTTCTTCTAACATTTTCATCAACCAATCAAATTCATCTCTACAATGACAATACATTTTTATTTATTTTTTTATTCTTTTAAATAAGATTTTAAATATTTCTTATTTTATAACAAAAAAAAAAATGTTATAAAATAAATATTTTTTTAATTATTCACTATCACTATCTAAATATTTTATTACATTAATCTTATCAAAAAAACAACAACCAACTTTGTACTCATTAACAAATCTTGTGTCTTCGTAACATAATAATTCTGTTGCATTTTTAAACAAATTATCCAATTCTTCTCTTGTATTAAAATAACTTTCTTCTACATTAAATGTTTTAACATTATTAAAAACATCTTTTAAATCAATGCTACCATCTTTCACTGATATAACTGTTTGATTAATATTACTATCAATATTTTTTAATATTTGGTAATCTTCTTTACTATCAAATATTAATCCACGAACTCTGAATCGTTTACAAATATTTTGTTTGTTTTTTGATTTAAAACCCATTATATTTTTTTATATTTAATTCTTTAAATCAAATTTTTTTTCTGATTCAATATCAGTTCAACTATAATACTAAGTAAAAAAAATAAATACAAAATAAAAATAAATACAAAATAAAAATAAAATGGATACCAAACTAACAAGAAAACAAGTCTACAAAAAATACAACATTGATACTGAAAAACAAAAATTTTTAGACGACACTCCACTAGATAAAATAATATACTACGAAGAATTTAATAAAAGTCTTACAGAAAAAAAAGGTTATTTTGATGAAATATTTCCTCCTTATGTTCCTGATAAAGAATACATAAAAAAATACGATCAAAGATGTAATAAATGTCAAAAAACTGAAAACTGGAAAATCTGGAAAAACTGTTTAAACTATAAAGATTGTTATCCACAAAATGAAAAAGGTGCAATGTTTAAAAATGCATATGGTAACAAAGAATGGATTCTATGGAAAACTTTAAAATAATTAGTAGTAGTAAGTAAATTTATTTTTCTGATTCACTATCAATACTTTTATTTTATTTTACAGTAGTAAGTAAATGATGACAACCCACTCACTCACTTTTATTTCTAAATCTTCGAGCAATGAGCGACTACTTGAGAACGAATGGAGCATTACGAATGAGCGAAGCGAATGAGTTTTTGCGAAATGAGTGAACAAGAGGAGCGATTTTGTGAGATGAGGTAGAAATAAAAGTGAGTGAGTGGGATGGCATCATTTACTTACTACTAAAATGCACCCTCCACCCCTCTAGGGCTCTAGGACAATGACGTGAATATTTTTATTATCCCGAGTGCTTACTTGCCCGTACGTCCGTCAAATAATAGGGACTTTAAGCAAATAGCCTGCGTAACTGGCGTTTTTTTTACTGTTTTTATTTTATGGTTAGCAAAGTAAGCGTTACAACCGCGCGAACAGAGGTCGAAACAAAACCCATCAAAAAACCGCCAGCTACAATGGCTATTAAGCAAATAGCTCGACGGCGACCTCATGACAGTTGTGGACATGGACTCCTGGTGAGAGCCCGTCAAATTTCAACTTTAAGCAAGCGTCGCCCAAACAGTGACTACCGGGTTTCTCGTTCACTTGCTTTCGCTGTTGGTAAAACGCAGGGAAGTCGTAATTACTGAAAAAACCAGAAGCGTTATAGCGCGACTACTATAAACGGGGACACCTAGACAAAGTTTACCAATAAAGTTACTGGAAAATAACAATACATTCCGAGAAAGTTAGTTGTCAGTCATAATTACCAGGAAACGAAATAAACAACATGGATCATCGAAATCAACCAGGAGCCCAGGAGCTCTGATTCAACCAAACACAATCAACCAAAGGTGGCCTTTTAAACCCACTGAAGAAAGCCCGTGTTTCCTGAGAGGTCCGTTAGAGTCTGTGACAGAGGCGAAAATGTAAAGGTTAGTTGTAATTTTGACTTCAGGTCGCGTGTTATTGAAAAGCGCAGCAATGGATTCCTTGGTGTTATATGTAAAGTTTTGAATAGAAAAACATTGTCTGGTGAAAGATTTTGCTTTTTTGAAAAACGTTTGCTATCTGCTTAAAGTCCCTATTATTTTTTAAAAAAAATTTTGTGCTTCGAGTATGTTATTGTTTTTGTTTTTTTGTTTGTTTTTGTTTTTTTACGAGCTGATGATCGACCCCCATCAACTTTCTTGGGCCCCGGTTACAGCAGTCGCACTGTAAATACTTTCTTGATTAAAGGAAAAACAATCTATGATAGGTCTATTTATACTTGGGGAAATAAGATGCGTCTTAAAAAGAACTGCATCATTTATACGAGTATCTAAGAAGCGTCTTAGCTTAGGCGCGTGATAAGTAAGGCGCAAAGATTTTTTTGTGCCATTTAAACCAGAAGATTGCATCTTATTCAACCAGCTCCTTTTCCTCATTTAACTAGACCCAAAGTAACGAAAGCTCTGGAGAATCCGGGAAAGTAATAGCAGCAAGGAGAAGGAGGATCGGAGAGGAAACATCATATGCCTAACGGCAATTTTCATAATACATAGAATTAATTAAGTGACAATTTGTTAATATGTGTTTCAGATTCAAATAGCGGGAAGAGGTGGGTGGAGGTGGGCGGGGTGCAAGAAAGCGTAATTAATAATACTTAGTACAAGTTGTGTTCTTAAGTAAGCATAAGTAGGTGAAATATGATCGTCCGGGTTATTGTGGCCAGGGGTGATTGTTCACAGTAGTCTCTGCGAACAACAGTCCTTCTTATTCAGGACTACACTCACCCAAACGATCATATTCCACCTACTTATGAGATGACTCCTGGGCTCAGTAGTTAAGCTGTTGTCCACCATAGACTGGGACAAAAAACTACTTCAATGTGAGGAGGGAGGAAGACAACGTGAGTAAGTTAAGGTGGTTCGACCCAGTATTTTTGT